TGCTCAATAACAGAATAGAGCAGACTGGAAATGATGTGAAATAAATGACAAATGCAAAACACTAATAGAGATCTCAAAGCAGCTTACATCTCTTTAACAGCTGAACTCATCATCAACCTTCTTTAGTCCTTAGGATCTTGACAGTTAACTCTGGAGCACACATAATAACACCCCAGACATAATTATGGCCCTCATTGTGCAGGAAAGACTGGACTCAGTCATCTAGGACAGTTCTGTGACGCTCATGGCCTTTCTTAAAACACTTCAAAAACACCTCTGTACAGCCTTACAATTACTGTAAAACAAACAGTAATTTTCCCGCCCCATGGCTTACAAAAGGATACATCTTTATCAGGATACATATTAGCCACAACTAACAACTGTTTAGTATACAAACACTTTTTTTACTAGGGAAATTTATTAGTAAGGAATTTGAGGAAAATGTCCATCAAAATTGACCAGAGGTCAAGGGGACAATTCCAACTTTTGAGGGTCTGGAAACAAAGGCTTTTTGGCATTCTTGCTTGATAAATGAATGGCCAAGTGTAAAAATAGCTAAAGATTAGTTTTACCAACCCGTAAATTCAGTCTGATAGATGTTACAAAATAATTATATTCTACTCTATTTCTTGCTGTCAATTACCCATTTTAATAAAGTCACCTTTGTTCTATGAATGTCAGAAATGCTGATGACACTTTAATAAAGCCAAAGGCAATGTCTTAATCTATCTTTTTCTTCTTTCTTGTCTGATTGTAATTGTATGTATTTTAAAATGTGGAATCGGTGAATGATGGGCATGTTTGGCTTATACAACGACTTTGATGATTTATAATTCATGTAAATATTTTTAACTGAACATAATCAATGAGTGGGTCAACTTGACCATCATTTATTATGCAAGTTATTAAAGGGTTCAGAAACGTTTTCCTCTCACCTGTCTGTACCAAGCAGCTGGCAGACTGACAGTACATTATTAACGAAAATATTGACATCATCACCTACCTTCATTTTCAGATGTTGGACATGCCACCTGCACAACCAGATCAAATGTTCTCTCTGGATTCTCCCTGCAAACAACAAAACACTGTTTACTCAGGGGAGATAAGTGGCAGCTGTTCACACACAACCATGGGCAACAAGTGTGTATTCAGCATTAGCACACGGAGCAACTGTGTTGAATTCCCTTGCATGTGCATTAGTATAACATCAATGAAGTGCACATGCCCTACTTTACGTGACTCACACTGTCAATAGCGGACAACGTCAATACGAGCATGTTAGCTAAAGCTGGTGGGGCTTTATGTAAGAATGAGGAGTTATCTTATTGGACAACGTGCAATATTTTGGACAAACTTTGGTCGCAGGACACTGTCGCTGGGTGTCCTGTCCACATGTAATACCCTATGTACGGCTGTGTGCTCGGTTAGCGGAGCGGCTAATTGGTGGTCAGCTAACGGACAGAGCAACAGAATGACCCAAATGCTAGAGCCAGCTGGCTGTTAAATCCACGGCTGGAGGGGGCTCGAATTACGGCCAACATTCCTCCATATTTCATACTCAGCTGCGAGTTAACGCTGCGAGCCGGGGACCACATATTAGCCGTTAGCTCGACAGCTCTATATCAATGAGCGACAGCAAAGGGGGGATTACAAAACACAAATCTCAGTGGTCTTACTTTATTCTGCTGTCCATGGTTTAGCTACAACATCGCGACAACTCCGTGCTGTTGGCGGCTCTGCTGTGGCTGTGCCTGGCTGTCCGCGAGGATCTCCAGCTCGACCTTCCTCAGTCCCACCCGTCACTTCTTCTTCCTTATCTGACACCTCTCGAAAGTTGCCGCGACCGCATGCTTGGAGGTGGGACAGTGTGGGAGTTTGTGCCGTCCCTCTGCCGTTAGATGTAGCCTGAATCCACAGTTCAGCACCACGGCGGATATTTCCCACAACAAACACCACTCCAGGAAGTGCTGTCAAAGATTTGGTGACGTCAGCGCGTCAGATGAGCACCTTGCTGCTTCTGCCTGCAAGCATCTCTGCTCCACTTGAAATGAGTAACCAGCAGGATACACACAGCAGACCACAGCCGTGTGATTCATGCTTTAATGCCTACGAGACTGTATTATTCGTTCAGTAATTGTGGCATCGGTAGCCTTTAGCAGTTGCTACAAAAGTGGGGTCCTGGGACCATCAGGGGTCCTTGTGAGGGCTTCCAAAGTATTAACATATGTTTTGGCCACATAAGGGCTGACTAACAACCTACAAAGACAACATTGCTCTAAATATATTTTAAGTTATTATGTTTAACATCATAGCAAACAGTTGCCTATACATTTCGATATACCAAGTAATATTTGTATTCATTTTCATTCAGTATTTTCATTATGGATTAGTCTACAAGTTATTTTCTGGATTAATAGTTTGCTTTATAAATTGCCAAATAAATGTCAGAAAGTATTTAACAAAAAATGTCCACCCCAATTTTAAATCCATGGTGATGTGTTCAATCATTGCATCATTACTATAACACTCGATGTGTTGTTGATCTTCACCATGTAATAGGGAATTATATGGTTGCTTAGCTGGTAAAATTACGATTGTATATGAAATTAAAACAATAATGCATACATTTATTTACCAGTTGATAGCTAGGCAACGCAATTTGTTTGTTTAACATGATGAGTGAGCAATGCCCACAATTTATCATGGGTAACTTTATTTAAAAGAAGCATAGAGCTTCTGAAAACCAGCTTTTGCCTTCATATTTCTTAACCAGCATTAAGTTGCATTTGAACATGCCTGAAGCTTTGAAAAACAGGCTTATGACTAAATGGCTGTCAGCCATGGTGGGAAAGTGAAACAGTAGTGCTTGCCATACAGAAGTGCCTTAGAGCAAGGCTTTTAACCCCCAAATGCTCCAGTGCACACAGACTGTGGGGGGCAGTTGAAGTTGAAGAAGACTGGCATGATCACTTGACTTTATCCTGCATAATAACAGTGTGCCATGTGTAAATGCTACTTACAGTAACCATGTTAGACGCCAGTAGTCCGTGCATGAAATAAATGCTGAAGTCGCAATACATAATTCAGTTACATAAGCTTTTGAAAATTCTCTGTGTCAGGCACACAAACCATGAACTGTTTGGAATCAGTGTTACGTCCCAGCGACATAAAACCAGTTGTACTTAGTATAAATAAAGTTGTCGAAATTAAAACTCTAATTAAATGGCATACGAGCAGCTTAACATCAGCCTATGACTATTAAAATCTGCTTCAGGACTGCACATTAAACGCGTTGTTCATGAATAAGCTGAGTCACTGGCCCAAGGGGAAATCCATCCTAAAATTATAGAATTTATTTAATTGTGCACTACTCATTGATTTAATTTAGTAATTTAAATGAGACAACCCCTTTCCGATTCATAACTGTGAAACTTTATAATATTAAAATCATTAATGATGGCATTATTTAGGTAAAATATAGTCTATGATCTCTGAGATCATATGAGTCTAAAGAGTCAGTAACAAATTAATTATTGGTTGACCAGCGCCCTAAAGTGACACCTGATAACAGGATCAATTAGCATTGGAAATCTTTTAATTTCCTTTTTAAGGGTGGACTTTCCTTTTATTGTTTGCATGTTTATGCAATATTTGTCCCATGGTAAATTGAAACCAATGGCTTAGATGTACATCTCTCTCCTCTCCAGAGAGTCTGCCTGGATCCCAGCCAGATTTCTTCAGGCTGACTGGAAGGTAATTAAGTGGCAGCAGGCTGGGGCATGCTGTTTCAGGCATCCATATGAAATGATAATGGCTGCTGCCTCAACAAAAAAGAAAAACACAATATGACACACATAAACACAAACAGAAACATAGATAAAGCTCTTAAGAGTCTTGGACATTTTGAACCAGTGATATATCACATTTCAGAGAACTGCAGTTATCTTAAACTCAAATAGAAAAAAAGGACAATATGATGTTCCATTGTTTTAAATCCCTTGAAATATGTTTCTGATCTGCTTCAAACATTTGACCTAGCTGAGGTGCACATGATTAAACTCAATTGAAATATCATCACAAGTAATTATAGAAAGAGGGCTCACTGTTTTGTTTTAAGTTCATTAAAATGCAGCCTTAAAGCCAACAGAAGAGCAACTGCAACATCTTGCACTGTTTCCCAACATTCAGTGTAAAGTGTAACTTGTAAAGCATATGCATTATCTTACATTTCAGCTTGTTTTACTAAAGAAAGAAAATAATCTTGTTTTATTCATCTAGCGTTCTTTAATGTTCCTCATCATAAGCATGAATATGTATATTATCATTGATGTGTAATTTGTCTTAGGGTGCATTGACCCCACAGTGTCAGTCAAAAGACACTTGTCAGGTTTCATTACCCAGAGTTCATTTGTAGACATATCAGAGGTGGCTTACAGCGGTGGATAACCTTGAGAGGACTCATGAATGTCCACTCATCAACCTTGCAGTGCTTTGTCCAAGTCACTATATAACTATATTATGAGAAGGTGTCTTTGTTTGCATTGCTCCCAAGGAGGGCAAAGCTTGGAATTTAGGGATAGTGTATAGGCTTACAATTTAAATTATACAATAACAGGAGGTTTAAAATTGCATATATATCATAGAGTAGAATACAGCAGAAAAAAGATAATAGCACTTTTAATTACAGAGGATTTTTGCTACGTTTAGCTAAGTAAAATATCAAAGTGCTTTTTGGGAGTGAATGAGATGTGTTTTTTTAAAAATTGGGAAAATTACCCTTTCACTTGTGTAATGGGTGCTAATTATTTTTAGAAGAAAATAGTGCACCAATGCTTTAAGATTTGTGTCTGTATTTGGTCATTGTTAAATCACTATATTTCATTCTATATGTAGTCACATAACTAAATGTAGTAATGCGGTGATGATTCACAAAACTATTATATTTGTCAGTCATTATTTGGTGTTTTATGTAGGCTATGTTGTTTTAGGATACATATCCTCCCACGGGGCGCGTGCGGCTGCAGTGAAGCAGCAGAGGTGGCGCTGTGAGAGCCAGTGGATCAGTGGCATGGTCACATGTCATGTGACCAGGCAAAGCAGGAAGTACGTAGAGGGAAAACGGAAAACCGGTGAGTGGAGGACGCAAAAGTAAACATGTAACATCTTTCAAACATGTGATATAATCAGTCGTTTCTGTGTTTGATTATATGGGCGGTTTTCCTGGATATCTATTTGCACTCAAGTGCAAGGTGATTAGTTTAGAGTAGTTTAACCTTTACCCGGTTCCAGTAGGTAGCCTAGTATTTTTATTTTTTACATTTAATGTTTCACCAACATTACCGCCGGTGTAAAGCTTTTGTCTGCCGATTGATTATCCTCCATGTGCCGTTTAATAAACGACTTTTAACAATGTCAATACCGAACCTATCTGAAGAAAGCTCGAAGCGACTGAAAGGCAGAGCCAGGGTACAGTCCAATGCAGACAGGAGAGGAGCAGACCCCAGTGAGGGGCTGACAACATGCAGCATTGTACACGAGCACCCTGCAAGAAAGTTCACAGAGGAAGAGATGGACATCCACAGAGCCCACAGAGAGGCATGTGAGGTGAGACCATCACTCTCCCACCCACTGCTCCCATGTTGATGTCAATCTGATCACATGATTAATTACAACAGTGTGTGATATGTTATTTGCAGCATCAAAAATAAACCTAACGTGCCAAAAGTACTTATTATGCAAATGTGACCATTTCAGAATAATATATCATGTTTTGATTATAATTATTGATGCATTAAAGTGTTATCAAAGCTGGTAAAGGTGCAGCTAGTTGTAATGACTTTGTATACTGCAGGGTAGCTTCTGAATGTTATTCCAGGTCAAAATATTCAAAGTAGAGGAGTAAAAGTACAATATTTACCTCTGAATTGTAGTGGAGTGGAGTAGAAAGTAGCATAACATGGGAATACTTGTTATGTATTACTTACTTGAGTACATTTAATACAATTATTTACTTCCCCACCTCTGGTTATTTGTTGGTTGTAATTCTCTACTGAGTTAATTAACTTCAGTTGTGGCATGTGTAAGATGATTTTATTTAAAGTAGCAAAGCCACAATGTAAAGATACTTTGAATACAATACTCTCATTCAGAACATTGCTTTTTGTACAGTATTCAAATGCTGGTCAATTATCTTTCAAAGTAGGATCTGAAAATGCAAAGCATGTACTGTAGTCAAATAGCTGTCTTTGAACAATACATAATATCAATTGCTGAATTTTAGCCAACTAGAAGTATTATAATCATGATGGTATCACAAACCTACTTGAGTTGTTCTCAACTGTTTGCATTAGAGTCTAGCTGTACACAATTACACCATGTCAACAAAAAAACATGTATGCATTCTGTCACTATTGTAGTGCTACACTGAAAATATGAAACAGGTATTTTAACTTCACATGCTTCATCTGTTTACCAAAACAAATGTAATATATGCAAGCTCAGTAGCAATTTTTTTTGGAGCTATACTCAATATTGTGTCTACTTATTTATGTTGAGTTAAAAATGTTGCCTGTTTATGAATAATGAGAATCTAGTAGAGAAGACTGACTACCTTGAGGTGATTGAATGTTTTTTTTAAAAGCCCACCATGGTACATTTTCATTTCTACTAAGTGATATGCTCCTTCATATAACAAACCAAATGTGAATTTCACAATAATTCAAATACTATTAGTACAAACAGTACTGTATAAAATAGGATTATTGTTTATCAAAACTGTCCTGTACCTGTAGAGCCATTGTTCACTTTTTCTTCTAGAAACCCCCCAATGTGTCCTTGGTATAATTACATTTGACTGTCATTTGCCATTTTAAATTTGATACAAGGTTTCCTTATTTTCATTGTAATTTCCTTATTTGTCATTTGTATTATAATCTGGATCACAAAGGGATTGTCAATATATTACACATATATGCTGCAAATATATGCACCATAGATATATTTTAGGAAAATTACAGTTGTAAAAAAACAATTTTTATTTTGATTTACTTAGACGCTTACCTACTCAGTGTTTCTACACAGTACCTGTCATGTAAGTAATTGTCAGATCCATCATATTCAACCAAATCTTCCTTGCTCTTCCATCAAACAGAGTGTGTCTCAGTGGTGATGACAGTGGTGAATAGGTGTCATCTTCATGCCTCCAGGCTTATCTGTTGTAAATATTGTGCTTCTGAGTGTGGATGAAGTTTAGACAAGTTGGCCGCGACCTGAGGAGAGTGGTAGGGCCTGGGTGGGAAAAGCACAATACAGAGGGGGCCCTGCTATGCCAGCTTCACTATGTGCCCCTGCAATGCCATGCGAAATGACAGGCTGTGTCACCAAATGGCCTGGGGGCTTTTTCCCTTTGTGGCCTGTCAAAGCTCACCAACTAGTGGGCTCTCAGTTTGAAACAGACTGAAGGAGGACATTTTCTAACTTCCCAAGGAATGCCAGAGTAGCTCAGTGTTTTCTTCTACGTACAGAAGAGTTTAAATGTCTGTAGAAGATGCAGATCAGTTGATAACTCATTGCAGATTTTCACCTACAAAAGAGCTGCACTAGTTATTTAGTAAAATCAGAGATTCACCATGTTGCATCTGTTTGTATAAACATAGGTTTTCCATTCCCTCACCTCCTTGACCCAAAGCAATCTGTCTCTATATGTTCACATTCAGTAGTATACCCGCCTGTGCATTTGTGTTAGATATGCACATGTAGGTATATGGTGATGTATGCGGGGGTCACACACCAGCATGTGTTTGTATGTCACACTAATTAAATAATAATGTCTTCATTCTGTTCAGACAAAGAAGCAGATGTACGTGGACCCTTCCAGTGGGTACAAGGTGTTCACAGAGTATGCCCAACTTCAGAGAGGGAAATGCTGTGGCAGCGCGTGCAGACATGTGAGCCCTTTGATTTCTTGTGTACCAAGTTGTGTGTTTCTCCACTTCACTCTGTTTTTTCACAGCACGTTTTTTCTTTTCAGCTGGCCTCAGTGGTATGTTTAGTTTTGTCCCATCCTCTTCATTTTTTTTTTTATCTATCCAGTTTCCATATGTCAAATTGCCTTCGATTTAACCTGTGTTTTCTTAAAGATCAAATAGTCTTACATTTCTTATGCCCAAAATAGCACAAGTTTATATGCATGGCCAGTTAACAAGAGCATCTGAACATCAGCTGTCCCTGGTGCCGAAGACAATCATTTATTATTTTCAATAAGTCTATTATTCTGTATGTTTTTTCTTTTCAAACAGCACATGTAAATCATTTTACTCAGTTTGACAATGTACTTTAATGTTCAGTGAACACTAAGCTTTAGGCTTGCAACATTTGATATGATACATGTTACTAATGTAAACCAGACAAGGGCTGCACAGCATGTGGCCTGCTTGGTGCATGACAACATTTTATCCCTCAAAAAACAAATCCTTTTTCCTCCAGTGGTTTTACTTTTGCAGACATTACTGATGAAATAAAAGGCTTAAATAGTTATTTCTTTCGTATGGGGGTAAAGGGCTTATTTTACAAACATCACTTACACCAAACAAACACATTTATTCACAAAGTGAATGACCCATTTTTAAGCTTTACCAGTTACAATATGGTCTCAAAGATGAATGGAAAAACAGTACATCATTTCCCCTAATCCTACAAGTGTTAAACTGCTCAATGCTTAATACTTTTAACGTTGACATACATCTTTAGGTTTATTATTTGAAAATCAAACCACACTCTGTAAATGTAGGTCGATATAGACAGGATGGATTTGATCATAACATTATACCCTCATTATACCTGTGCTCACTTCACCTATGTTGTGACCTGGTGACATGTGTCGTCCTTTCTTACTGTGTCTGGTTCAGTCCTAGATATTCTTTTAACCTCATCTTGTTCTGTTGAAAGCTTACAACCATGTCTTGTTCTCTGTGTGACTGATGTTTTACTCCACATATGACTTTCTTTTTAAATTTCTCCTCTAGTGTCCATATGGCCATGTCAACGTGAAGGACCCTGCAATGAAGAAACAGTTTAATACTTTATTTTATGCATGACGAAGGTAAAATGTCTGTTCAGAATGGAACACAAAATATGTTGCTTATCTTCTGCCTGTCATTATCCGGACTACTTTGGAGTCATTTTTAGCAGTGTACTAAATGATGAAATAGGGGTACTGTCTGTGCAATATCTACCTCCAGTGAATCACAACTATTCTCAGGATTATTATTATTCTCACAAGACGGGGAAGGAGGAGCAATGATTTGTTCACTAGAGCCTCATATAAAATAGTCTTTAATCACATTTTTGTTTTGCCATATTTTTCAGTTATTTTTCTCCAATGTCCAATGAAATGCCTTGAGCTCCATTTCTTGTTTCTCTTAGAGTATTTAATATGTTGTGGTTTTCTGCTACTCTGATGCATTTACAAGGGTTGTGGGAGTATGGAGATGAAAACTGAAAGAGCATTTTAGATCTTTGCCCTCCAGATAAAGGGCATATAAGCAAAACTAACTGCAGATAGTCAGATGGAGTCTTGTGCTCTTTTGCTTTGCATCTCTAGTTATTTTTCCTCCCAAATGTACGACTGTATGAATATTAGCATCATTTACACTCCACAAGTGCTCGCCTGAACTGTCTACCTTTGACTGAAACACTGTGTTGTTAAAAATAGGCAGGGGCCAAGGGTCATCCCTCACACTTGGCTGCGCTTCTTTTACACTACTTGATGGAATCAGGCTGCTAACAAACATGCCATGGACATCAACAGCAGCCCTCCCCACCGGACTCCCAGCTCAGCCTCCTGGCAACACTTGGCTCCAGCTCAGCTCCCTGCGGCTGCTCTCCTGAGCTGCAGCCTAATGAACTCCTGGGCCCTCCTATCCCAGCACTGCAATAGATCAGCTCATGTTCACGAGCTTGTTTAGACGCACACATGCATAGACAGGCTTACTCCATCAGAGCACCCTGTGGCTCCTAATAGGCCAATATAGAATAAAAGTTGCTCTAAACACCGCACTGTGTAGCCCACAGTAATAGTACAAGGTAAGGTCAAGCGCTCATGCGGCAATACCTGTGCGTGCGAGAGATGTTGAGGGAAGATGTGGCACTTGATTTGTGAGTGCATGAGGAGAGGCAGCGCCATGCCTCCGGGCACTGGCTGTGAACCTGCCACACACACTCGCCTGTCTCCGCCTGATCGGGCAAACAGCGTCGGGATGAGAGGATGTGTCTGCCGCGGAGTCCTGTCGCAGCCGCCTACTGGCGCAGCCACACTTTCCCTCGGCAGGTGGGTCCCAAAGGCAAGTGCTTAGTGATCGGACAAAAGCCCTGTGAGCGGCTACAAGGAGATTCATGATCCCAACAGTGCTGGGGAGGACAGGTTCTTGGGGACGCGTCGTCAGGCGGGATGAGAGGCAAATGTATTTGGTGTTATTCTAAACCGAGGCAGCGGAGCGTGCGGCAGCAACATTCCTACAGCGGGACGGTGAAGGTGTCACACTCATCAAGTACCTGGGCCCGCTCGCCTGCCGCGGCTCTGCGGGTTTTGCCTAGGGACTTGTCTGTCACATTAAAGTAGATGCATTGCCATTCAGGGCCTCGGCGGTCCCGCAGCCTGACCATGAAATAGGCCAACTTTCATGTCTGCCTCATCCCTCCACGTCTTCCCGATCCAGTGATGGCACAGTTTGAAATGCTTTTTTTCCCTTTTTTAAATCATGTACTTGCCTATCAGTTGTTGACTGAGACACAAACAACACAGCAATCCCTTTGACAGATTTTTGGAGAAAGTTGCTTGGAAAAACCTCCTGCCACCATAGACAATTATCATATTAAAGTATGTTTGGAAACAGTAAGCATGTTCTTGAATTGTGCTTTTTTGAAAGCACGTCATTCACTTCCACAATGAGAGAGCATTGAAAAGACAGCCATCTTTTGTATTTGTCTTGCTTATAAATTGGTTTTAATAGTCTTTTTTGTTTTCAACTTATTAAATTGTGTCTGACAACTTTAAAAACTGTAATGGCAATCAACCTCATGAACAAATTCATTCTGTTGACTTTGGCTGTATTATGCAATATCATAAAATGATGAAAATTGAAGAAATCTCTCAATAGGCAAATAGCCTGCGCGCATCCACATTTTCACACACATGGTATTCCCTCAGTGCAGATGTGCTCTGAAGTTACCACAGCCAACCCGACATGTGAGGTGTTTATTTCAGGCATTTTGGACTGAACATCTCTGACCTTCAGCCGGAGCATATGCTGTGCTGGAGCAGAGTGGCAGATAGACCGTGTGCCTTTCTACAGGATGATGGCACTAGCCGCAGAGAAAAAGAGAGCTGTCCAGTTTGGAACTGTGACCAGACAGGCTCTAGTCACAACCAGTTGACAGGCCAAGTAGCCCCTCCCTCACTCCGCCCCCCACCCACCCCATCCATCTCAAACAGGAACAGCAGCCCTGCGGCCAATGGCCCCGACCACAGTCAGTTACAGTGTCTCCATCACTGTTAGCCATGACCAGCCAGGAACTGACATAGGGTTGGGCGGGGGGGAGAAAAAAAAAACTTGAGTGTCAGCCGTATGATGGCTGAAAGGAACATCAGTCTAAGCAATTGGCCGGGCACTGCTATGTACTTGTTGGTGTGCATGCTCGTGGGTACGTGCATGTGTGTCTTGATATTTGAGCAGCCCCTACATCAACGTCTGGTCCTGCTACACACACACTGTCAGCTCGCCTCGGGGCAGCAGCCTCCACAGTGGTCATATGGACAACCAGATCCCTGTGGTAGAATTAGTGATAAAAAACACACATGGCCACTGAGTGACAGTCAGCGCACCAGATTCCTTTGGACAGACAGGGCTGCAAATAGCACGGAGGAGCAGCTTCTCCTTCAGACCGCAACTGGTGGTCAGGCTCATGCCAGGCCAAGTCGTGGCTGCCAGATGAGCCCAGATAAAAGGAGAGTCAGGGGCAGAAGCAGACACCTAAGTGCCTAGGAGCACTTTGCCCTGTTTATTTCTCTCCTGTTTTTACATCAATGCAGGATTTATTGTCTACACTAACAAGAGAAGGCATGTGATTGCTTTTCTTGTGGCTTTTACACTATTTAACCTCTAACTTGTGATTCCCTCTGACTCACTCTTCAGTGAATGGTTGAAGTAGAAAGAAAGGGAGTGTTTGACAGTATAACAACATATAAGCATCGCTATAGTCTTCTGCACTTTGCCCCATAAGGTTATATAGCGATAAGAACATCCGTCTATTATGTTTCATGTCCTTTCTAGTGTGGCCAGATATGGACTAATACGCGCACCATTCCCCAGGAGGATACTCTGTCCCCAGAGGAGCTCTTGGGGGGTGTGGAGGTTTGCTTTTGGAGCTGTTCTGGAGGCAGGGAGGGGAGGCAGGCAGCAGTTGGTGTGCAGAAAGCAGAGGCTCAGGCTGGCTAGTTAAGAGCTTCTCTCTCCTATCCTCCATCTGCCAGGGACCGGGGCTGTGATTTGAGCTCCAGCAGAGCAGAGCAGGGAGGAGATCGAAGTAGGGGTGGAGGGTGGTGTTTGTCAGTGGTAGTCAGGGGGGGAAGGAAGGGGGAGAAAAGAGAAAGTGGAAGGAGCGGGGAGCTGGAGGAGGAGAGGGGGAAAAGTGAGGGAGAAAGAGCTGGAGAGAGAAAATATGGATAGAAATGAAGAAAAAAACAAATGTGTGAGGATTGAGACGCCTCTAAACAGAGTTTTTATATATTATCATTCTAAACCCCCTTTAGAGTTTTAATGCCAGGTGTTGGCTATAAAAACAGAGTTTAAGGCACATTTTACCCATGCTTATGTTTTTTTTACATTTCCTTTCCTCATGAAACCATGTCCACTGTGTGTTTGTAAATATTTCCAGGATTGGGTTACATGTGACTGGGATACATCTTTACAGTGCTTCACTCCTCCCTCTGTTCCTCCTCCTCTACCCCCCCCCCCCAATTCCCTCCCTTTCCTTTCCCCCTCCTCTCCTACTCCTCTCCTTCATTCTGTCAGTGTTTAGCCCGTGGTTCCCCGCTGCACAGTGGATCCTGGGAGAGCCTTCCCACCTCCTCCTCCTCCTTCTTCCTCGCCTCCTCAGCTCCTATTCTGGCCATGCTCTGGGAGTGACTGAGAGCTCCCTCCACGAGACTGAGTGTCACTTGAGGTGACCCAGAAATGATGACTCCAGATGAACCCTGGATGTGTGGTAATCTAACCACCATGCCCAAGGAGCCAGGCAGCCGTGGAGGCAGGCATCCCGGGCTGATGCAGTTTCTGTGGTCTCACTGTTGAGCCGAGCTCGCTGCACATCCTGTCTGCGTATAATGCTCCCAGAATGCTGTGTGCACTGTTCGTGTTGTGGTACACAGTGAAATGGATCTCAGTGGCGTTGCATTATTGATGAGATACATTCTGATGTCAGTGCAGGTGGAAGGAGCAAAGCAAAATGACTGTTAGCAGTATGGCACTGTGTCATTTATGCAAGCACAGAGGTGTAATTAATTGTCACCCTTTGCTCTCATTGGAGCTAACAGCGTCTATTCACTTGTGTCAATAGAAATCAGTCCATCTATACCTTAATGTGTTATCCAATTGGACAGTGTGAGCAGGTTTAGGGCATCCTGTCCTCTGGATGACCTGTCTTTTTTTATGTTAACAGCAAATATATAATTCAGATGGAGGCACCATGCACTTTAAAGTGTTAACATTTAGCTATTAACGTTATTATTATTTAACTGCTTGTCCTGTTGTTTGACTAATATAATCCACCAATGCACAAAGCAAATACACCAACATTATGGACCATTATACTGTATATTAGGGAAATTAATGATCAATATTGAAATAAAATAAACATATCCTCTTAGCAGTCAGGAAAAATGAAATCTTTAAAGCATAAACAATATTAATATTTACAAAAAAACCTGACATTATTAAATGTGGTGAATTTTTCATCAACATTTTTTTTTATTCATTAGATGTTGCAACATGAGGCAAAATGTGTGTGGATGGTGCCTATCTGAATCCTGCAGTGGGTTATAATATGAAGTTTGTCAGCTGGACTATACTGGAGAGTCAGATGGAGAAACATGCATCACAGTTCAGGGGAAACGAAACTTGAACCAAATTATTAAATTATTTTTAATATTGTTGATATGGGGAATTAATTTAATACAACCAGAAAATAGGAATCTAGAGAAAGACACCAGAAAAAGAAAGATATAACATGTAATGTGTGTACAGTTTACATGACGTTGAAATATAATGAATAACATTATAGCCATAGCAAAGGCCTATCACTGCTTGGTGCAGATTTGTCACATTAATTGGTAACATTCAGAAATTATTTAGCACCTTTATTTCAAAAACAATTTTGATTTGTAGAAAAACACTTTAACAGTATAGGCTTTGTGTTTCTGTGCTCCATATCTATGTCAGATTGATTGATGTAGTTTGACTATAGCTACTTATTTATTCACAAAAAACTCTGCTCTCACACCAATGAAATTACAGCTGTAAGTATTTCGCTTAAATCCCATATAGCCAGTGAATTCTTGAGTGATATGTGTAGTTTATGTTCTTGATCACATCCTTTAACGTTGTTTGCAATATGCGTTCCCAAATAGTCTTTTGGGGTTAACACTTTACTATTTAAATTCATACTAAACAGCTGTGAAATGCATATCGTTTGAAGGGGGGAAACACCAGATGTGTCTAATATTACAAAATCCTGCTCTATATAGTAACTGCATTCCATTTGGCGAATCTAGATTTTTTTATTTTTTTATTTACATCACACATTCTAACCTATGAGTAGGCCATTGGCTCATCTTCCCATTTTCTTTGCTGTTGCCTGCGTGTGTGGTTGTGTTGAGGGCTTCCTGCATACGGGAGAGGAATATTTAAATGTCTTGTGTTTTAATTGACGCCCGAACTAGAGAAGCTCAGAAACGAGGAACAGCCCCCATCTACCGGCAGCTTGTCCTCTGTCTCCGACACTGCCTCAGTCCGGAGCTGCTCCGCTGCACGCTGCACAGGGATCTCACACTGCCTCAGGTAAGACCTTTTTCCATCTCTGCTTTGGGTAAATACAAATACAAAGTAGGCATATGTTTAATTAAAAAAAAAAAAAAACCGCGTGAAGCAATGCCCGACTGATCTGAAGCATGATTACGTTCTCCGGTATAAACAGGCATGTGGTAAAACAAAAGGCAAACCCCTCGAATCTCTATATTAGGCCTACTCCTATATTTTTTATTAACGGGCTACGAAATATTACGTAATCATCTTAATATAGCCTAACCTAACATATGCGTGTGTTGGTGGTATTAAAAGTGTGCACGTTCAACGGCAGGAACAATATGAATTGACGCCCTTCATTAAAAATAGGTAGGCTAATTGCTAGTTGTTTTTACTGTTCGCTGCTGAGATTTTATTCTTTTTAATTAATAAAGTCCAGGGAGTCATCTTGGATTTACACGCCATTTTAAATATTGTTATCAGTGTTTTTGTTTTTTTACGTGTCAAATATTTTTTAATGAAGCTACAGTGCATAAACAAGCAGCGTGCATTACGTTTTTAAAAGACTTGGCATGATAAAGCCAGATCACAAATATTAAATTAGGGCCAATCAGTCCCAGTAACTTAACGAATAATGACACTGAACCGTCCAGATGAATTGTCTTCAATTGATTTAGAGCCAGTAATAAAATATGATGGATAACGTAACTCAGTTTCTTTATTAATAGGATTCGCTCTGAACACGATTCAAACGATAGGCTACATATATCCTAATTAATAAAACACTCACATTGTTTTTTAATGTTTTTGTAAAAGCATGATATTGTGAATTGGCTTTGGTTTATCTAAGATTTTCTAACAAATAACAATATGAACTCAAATATAATAAATATAAAAGCAGTGGTTTAAATGTAGTTGCAGGTAGCCCTAATATCCTAATTAGATACCAAGAAAAGGAAACGAAACAAAACAAAACGAACACAAAAGACAGTATTCCCTCAGCCCCTTGGTGTACACTGACACATTGTTAAACCCTCTTCAGTCAAATGAAATGTCACTGCTGGAGGCAACGGGTCAAAACACTGTTCTTTATCGACATTAACGATAGGCTTACGTCTTAATAAAAAAATACGTAAACATGTACACACTGTATTTATAGTAGGCCTACACAGTGTAATCAAGCCCAGTTTTTTTAATTGAGCCTTTCTAATTCCCGTGGAGAAAGAAAAACAGCATAAAGATTAAATATCACACAGAGCTGAGTTGATCGGTCCTCTCAGGGTGTCTTTGTCAAGGTGAAAGAAATCCCTGTGTCCTTTTTGACTCTCCTTTCACCGCTTTCTGGCTGGTGCTGGGACTCTGACAAAGCGCAAATGAACGATATGTCTCCAGAACAGCTGCAGGTCCAGCCCGTACAGGAGGGTCCGAGCATTGTCTCAAAGCGCAGTTATCAGGAGGCCTCCAATTAAAGCCAACACAACTTCATGCTGGGGGAGTGGGAGGGTGGGAGTGCACATGATAATGTAACACGTCTTGAGATGAAGCATCCACACCTGCAAACCCCCCTGAGCCTCAGTAAGCTAAATCTATTAATGGGACCATATAGGCCTAGTCACAGATTCAGTGAGTCTATTGTTTTATGGCAAAAATCTTCCATCTAGCCATCGACCCTGCTGCAAAGGCCCGTGTGCAAGGAAATATTATCTATACAGACCTTGAGCTGCCTCATTTTGGTTTGTTGTCACCGTATTTGGCCTGCATGTTGGACAGTAAAGCCATTCATTCTATTTGCGTTTCAGAGTTTTCACACTCTTTGACACATTTTTTTATAACTCCAAAGTCGCCTATAACGTAGACTATAGGCTATAGTTAACTAAATGGAACGCTGATTTCTGAAAATATTCAATTGATTCATAGAATAAAAGGTCAACTAAATGTGTTTATATTATAAATCATATATGCTGAAAGCTAATGCAGGGAGTTATTGTGTTTTAATATGGTAAAAATGAACTGAAAATACTTGCATATATAATATTAATTCAATTTATTTCAGATTGTTTAATATCTGTCACCGCCCTCTAGCCTATCAATGATCACTGCCCCGCCCCAAACACACACACACACACACACACACACACACACACACACACACACACACACACACACACACACACACACACACACACACACACACACACACACACACACACAACACACACTTATTATTATTATTGTATTTTCCCACCCACCAAACAGCTGATAAAGAAAGAATTAAACACTTAAATCTGTGTTTACTTTTTTAACAGTAAAGCAATTAAAGTGTCTTCAAAGCAGCAATAATTGAATATATTCGGGAGAATCACTTATCCTCATATCTGACTACTTTAATGAAACTCCAACAATTTAACATAGGCCTACTTTAAATGCATGTTATTTTTAATATGTTTAAAATATATTTACACTCAAATGACTCCATTGTAGTTTATGCAACATCCGCATTACTCTCCAGCATCCTCCCCTGTATATGGAGGAATAAAAGTAATCAAAATATCAATACCATAAAGTAGTGGTCCTTCGCGCAGCCAGAATCGGGAGTTTTTTAGGGTAGAGTGACAGCTCTTTGTTGGTGAATAGAAATCAGTGCCGATGGAGAGAGAGAGAGTGAGAGGGGGGAGACACAGAGTATGGAGAGAGAGAGAGAGAGGAGAGAGAGAGAGAGAAGAGAGAGAGAGAGAGAGAGAGAGATAGAGAGAGGAGAGAGAGAGAGAGAGAGAGAGAGAGAGAAGAGAGAGAGGAGAGAGAGAGAGAGAGAGAGAGAGAGAGAGAGAGAGAGAGAGAGAGAGAGAGGAACTCCTCCTACCAAATTATTCAGACTGGGCAGGCTTTGCTCTCTTCACAAATAGGACACCGGTTCTCAATCCAGGCAGTCCCAACCTGACCTCCAAGCACCAAGGAACCCCTGACTGGGAAACCGGTAGAGAGAATCACCAAAAAGAATCAACAAAAACTTTGTGTCATTATTTTTGGCCAGTTTTCACACTATAGCCCCCTCCCCTCCTCCCTCCCCACCACTTACACACCGGTGTGTCGCGTGATTTGGAATATATATTTTTCCTCGAGGAGAGACATTCACGGGAAGAAGGAAACAGCTGGTGCACCACCACCACCAACTCCTCCTGTCCCACCCATGTTGTAGTTTCTTGGTTCCAGTTTTCTTCCAGTTGCCTTCGCACTGTGGGGAGAAGCTGATCTGAATCTTTGGGGTTGAGTTGTTGTGTTGTGTGCCTCTCTCAGAGCCTCAGAGCCCGGTTGGATGCGCTGAGAGAGCGGGGCGCAGCGCTGCAGTTCAGTATATGGAAGTTGTGAGCTGCAAGACAGAGGCAGGCAGTTGCAAGTTGCGTCCAGGACCGGGAGCCATGCTTTTCCACGGGATCTCCGGGGATCACATCCAAGGGATCATGGAGGAGATGGAGAGAAGGTCGAAAACCGAGTCGCGTATGGCGAAGGGGATGCAGCTGAACGGAAGAGAGTCGGTAAGTGTCCACCAGTGTTTTAATTCATGTTGAAACTCGTTTTAACCTACTGTTTGAACCACGACACCGTGACACAGGAACAATACAGTTGTTTTGGTCTAAGCAGGATTAGGAGGATTTATCAGTTACTTATTTGTGTTTAATTATGTTCAAATGTTGTAGTCTTTGTCCAAAATTAATTTCCCTTGTGGAGTGTATTTCGTGATGACAGTTAAAATGTCCTATTTTGTTGTTATAACTTCTCAATAAGGCCTGTTTGAACAAACTAACTACTCAAAGCAAACTGGCTTCCTATTTACATGCAGTTGTCTCTAAATATATATTTGAAACACACAGTTTTACTCTTGACATCAAATAAAACATTGTGGAAACAATACATCGTTTTCTGTGGACACATTTACTGGTTGCAGTTCTGGCAATTATTTATGCTAGAATTAAACTGTTATCAAAAAGGCATATGTTGTATTTTATTATTATCATTATATTATTAATTCTTACATTTTAGTTGTTTTAAATGTTAAATATCCTATATTTACTCTTGTTTTAATAGGCCTTTATTCAATAAATATATGTTTGACCCTAAAATTGTTACAGTGAATTTATTTTTATTTTTACTTTAATGAACATAAGGATATATTAAACTAAGAAAAATATAAGGTTGGCAAAACAAAAGTATTTAACTCTCCCTAATATTAATTTAATTTTCCTAAGCGTCTTTCATTGACAGTGCATGTGTATTTGGGGCATGTGAACACACCAAGCCTGCATTTGTTTAACAGCGTGTTTAAAGCTCTTAAAAAAGGCCTTTAGTTGATCGATTAAACGTTTAATCTCGTGGGCATCAAGCTTCCAAAGGCCTCTGTTTTTACACATGTGTTGAATAAATCTCTTGACGGGAGTTGCCATGACCTTTTTTTCTGTCTCGTTGACTCAGACCATAACTTCCATGAGCCAGGAGAAGCCTGCTCTGTGTGCCGGCTGTGGCGGCAAGATTTCGGACAGATACTACCTCCTGGCCGTGGACAAACAGTGGCACCTGCGGTGTCTCAAATGCTGTGAATGTAAACTAGCGCTGGAGTCAGAGCTTACGTGTTTTGCCAAGGATGGGAGTATCTATTGCAAGGAGGACTACTACAGGTATGAACAATGAAGGTTAACATTTTAGAAATGTACAGACATCTCACGAAAACATTAGTCTCTATAGTGCGCACATCCTCCCAAAGCTGCTGATCGTATAATTAGCCTATATATTTTTAATTTAATTTTAAACCCTTTAATAAACAACGAATTTTAGGGGGAAATATTGTAGGCTCATGCACTTTTGCCTTTAACCTGGTTCAACAGGCTCTGGTTGTTCATCTTGAATTAGCCTATGTTTAAGCCTTTAGGTCCAATTAAGTCTTATGTTCTGAATATAATCATAACAATCTCACAGGGACCTTCGTGGTGTTAATTGGTAAAAATATATGATAGGCCTATTCATTTATTTATTTTCTTTGGTTTGAAGTCCAGATGTAATATTTTCCCATGACAATGGGTGTAATGTAAACCCTATTAGCTTAAGCCTAACATAAGCAGGAACAAAAGAGCAAATCGTTGTACATTTATATCCTGTTATAAAAACGACCCACCTTAGCTTTGTTCGACAACTTCAATGTGGATAATAACGAGTTATATTGATCAGTTAAAATACAGTCATTTGTGTGTTAATATGCATGTATACATGCCTGAATGTTATTTAGAATTCACAATAATAAGAAAACAATATGGTAACAAAAATCATGTTTACCAAGGTTAGCTGTCTCGCCGATACTAATAGGCTACTATACTTCCGCATATTAGCCTTTTGTGTTTAATGTCTACAGTGTCAAGAGGTTAGCAAACGCACCTAAGTTTAATCACTGAAACTGTGGACTTAGAGAAAATGTTTTTATTTGTAGGCCAGATGTGGCTAATAGCTCAGAATCTAAACTCAGTATAGCCTTTTATAGGCCTACTGCCAATAAAGCTGTGGCAGGTATAACTTGTCTCTCAAGACAAGGAAAGAGCATGGTTAGGTTATTTTAGCCTGTTAATGTGCCGGTTATATTTCGGCCCATGTCCCACTTTGTCTCTTTGTATGAAGAGTCTTGACGATTAATCTGTTCCAGAAGGTTCTCCGTGCAGAGGTGCGCGCGCTGCCACCTCGGGATATCGGCCTCGGAGATGGTGATGCGGGCACGCGACTCCGTGTACCACCTGAGCTGCTTCACGTGCACCACCTGCAACAAGACGCTGAGCACAGGTGACCACTTCGGCATGAAGGACAGCCTGGTGTACTGCCGGCTGCACTTCGAGACGCTGGTGCAGGGACCGGACTACCACCAGCAGCTCAACTTCGCCGAGCTGGCGGCCAAGGGCGGCGGCCTCACCCTGCCTTACTTCAACGGCACCGGGACATCACAGAAGGGGAGGCCGCGCAAGAGGAAGAGCCCGGCCATGGGGATAGATATACCCAGCTACAACGGTGAGCCTCACTTCAAGTCAGCAACACAAACACACGTAGGCCACATAGGCTAGGCTACTATAAAGTTATTAGTCTACCCTAATTGTAGCCTTTAACAGTAGGCCTATGTCCTCTTTTACAAATGCCAAATAATGGGAACATCGAAATGTATCACAAAACAAACCGAGCTGTTTAGCTAAGTACACTCTAAGCAGTTCCTCATTATGGGTTGACCCTTTGGAGCCCAAACTATGGCAACCTTTTTTTCTGCATTGTAGTTAATGTATTATTCACTCAAATCTACCAACATGTCTTCTTCATAAATAATTTTTAATGTTCTAAAATACAGCACCAATATAAATACGTTTAGGTAAAATTGGCATCAATTCAATAGATAAATATACGTATTTTAAATAACCTTTCTGGATAGATTTGTTTCCATTACGCATACAATAGTAGATACACATTACACGTCCTGATTAATGCATCTCTGCTGTAGGCTATCTAAAGTAGGTGGACATTGCCTGCGTGCAGCGGCGCCCGCAGCCGTGGGATAATTGATCTGCAGCTTTCTGTCCACGCGTCTTTCACGCCCCGTTTTTGTGCTTTAAACGGTGGCGTGTGTTGCACGGAGATAGTTCGAAAATTGACATGGCCGTCAACCTTCACTTCGACTTTTACAATTAAGACAAATTTAGGTCAAGAAAAGTGTTTGAACGGGTGTGAAGGGGCTACATTTAGTTTGGTAGGCCTACTGCTGCGTAAAAATCGAGGCCAAAGTTTAGTGCTTTCACAGTCCTTTGACTTTTTGTGGAAGACCGAAAAAACTGTTAACTATTAGCCTACTAGTCAACATTAATGGTCTGCTAAATGTAGGTTTCATTCAAAATCTCGCATTGAAAATCCCCCCCCCCTCCCGGCAACGTCCCCATTTTGTTGTCGCTTTCTGCGAATTAGTGTTCGGTTGAGAAAGTTTGTCTTTGTGCGCCAAGTTTCCAGTGTTCCTGCTGAATGGGGAGGAATAAGGGTAATCTGCGCGTTAATTGTTCTTCGCTAATTGAAGGTGACGTTGGAATCTCTGCCCTCCTGAGCGGCGGTCAGCCCGGTTCTCACAGCGCCGAGCGCAGGGGCCTGCTGCGGGAGAGGCCGGCCAGCACTGTACACCACCCAGCCCGGCTCTAAGCCTTGTTATCCGCAAACACAAGAGATTATGCAAAACCTAAAGTTCTCATGGATGCCTTAGTAGACAAATTACCATTGTATTTTTATTTAACAGCACGACATTCCTAACCTACTTCAGCAAAGCGTTTGAATAACATATAATGCAGCCTAAACAGGTAAAAGAACCCACAGAAAAATACATACAACTCAGTAAGAATTCCTTGTGAGTTCATTATCTAGCGCCACAGACACAGTAAAAGGTCCCTGTGGGAATATCATGTTTTACGTTTGGTTTACTAAATAAAATAAAATGATGTCGAATATATTTTCAAATTGTAAA